ATGGGGGTGTCGGTCCCTGCAGGGTCAGCAAGGCCCCAAGATGTCAAAGCATCAGAATACAGAAGATAAGAGACCCGGTTCAAGGCCTACCTAGGAGGGGCCCGGGGCTCCGTGGCAGGACAGGCCCGTGAGTTCACTGGGGCACCGCTGGCTCTAGCTGTGTTTCCACTACAGAGGGAGATTGGGAAACTAGCAGGAGGCCAGGGGGAACTTGGCTTGGCTGTCAGCCGCGGGTCTCCAGGCACTTCGTGTGACAATGGCAAGTGCAGATGTGGCTCCCAACCCGGCCGACCATGCCCCCCGCCCCGGGTCCTAGGAGGAGGCTGTCACGTGTGGGTGTATTTAGAGATCTGAGAGCCCTGTTTGTCTTAGGCCATAATGAGAGTTAACAGAAACCTTTTAGGTTTTTAACATTTCTAAACAACTGTTGCAACCTCACTTGGCCCAGAATGACTGTTGGTAGAACACAATGTACTGTAGTTTTAGTGGGGGGAGAAAAAAAAAAACAAAAACCAATTCTCTGTGGATTTATGAAAATAAACTCAGAATTAATGAGCAAAATTTGTCGGGGAGGCCTATTTGTCACACTCAGGAAGCTACAATCTCATTTTACTTGCCGCTTTTGCTCTAGCATTGCCATTCGTTTGCTGAAGGTAAAATACATTACTTGTAAATAAACAAAAGTGGCCCCCGTGTCCTGCTCCCCTGCCTTCCTGCAAACATTAATCACCGGCTGACTTCTTTGTGTGTGTGTGTGTGTGTGTGTGTGTGTTCTCCCTGTTACCTTTTTTGGGGCTTACCAACAGAAATGTATTTTCTCTTGGTTATGGAGGCTGTTGAGTCCAAGATCAAGGTGTCGGAAGATCTGGTTTCTTCCGAGGCCTCTCTCTAGACCAGCACATACGGCTGCTTTTCACTGTGTCTTCTCGTGGTTATCCCTTAGTCTGTGTTGTCGTGTCAGAATTTCCTCTTCTTAAAAGGACACCAGTCGTGTCGGATGGGTGCCCACCCATGTGACCTCATTTCAGCTTAATTACCCCTTTAAAGACCCCGTCTCCAAAACCAGCACACTCTGATCTTCCTGTTTACTTTTTTAAAATTGTTTATTTATTTATTTTATATCGAAGTACAGTTGAGTTACATTGTTGTGTTAGTTTTAGCTGTACAGCACAGTGATTCAGTTTTATATATATTTTATATATAAATATTCTTTTTCAGGTTCTTTTCCCATATAGGTTATTACAGAGTATTGAGTAGAATTCCCTGTGCTATACAGTAGGTCCTTGTTGGTAATCTATTTTATATTTAGTAGTGTGTGTATGTTAATCCCAAACTCCTAATTTATACCCACCCTTTTCTCCTTTGGGAAAAGACAAATAACATATGATGTCGCCTATATGCGGAATCTAAAAACAAAATACAAATAAATTTATTTACAAAACAGAAAGAGACTCACAGACATAGAAGACAAATCCATTGCCTTTGAACATGGAACTTCTTCAGGACGTTTTCAGGGGAAATGCTGTGTCTCGGGCTGCTTCACATGGGCGTCTGCATGTCCACGGGTTTGCCTTGCCTTATACAAGCCTGTGGTTTGCAAAGTCCCACCATAAGTTAGGAGCAGGAAAAGGGAGGAAGGACGGGTCACTATGAAAAAAAATGTTTTGTTTTTTTTAAAAATAAATTTATTTACTTATTCATATTTATTTTTGGCTGTGTTGGGTGTTCGTTGCTGCATGCAGGCTTTCTCTAGTTACAGCAAGCAGGGGCTACTCTTCGTTGTGGTGCGGTGGCTTCTCTTGTTGCGGAACACAGGCTCGAGGCGCGTGGGCTTCAGTAGTTGTGGCACACGGGCTCAGTAGTTGTGGCTCGTGGGCTCTAGAGCACAGGCTCAGTAGTTGTGGTGCACGGGCTGAGTTGCTCTGTGGCATGTGGGATCTTCCCGGACCAGGGCTCAAACCCGTGTCCCCTGCGTTGGCAGGCGGATTCTTAACCACTGCGCCCCCAGGGAAGTCCCGGTTGGTTTTTTTTAACTTCATCAAGAGTCTTGTAAAATCATTGCTTTCATCAGGTTCTCCTGGGGCCTTGAAACTATCGTTGGGTGCAGGCCATTTTATGGAAAGTTTATTGTTTCCTGCGAGGCAAGCTGTGTGATTCTTCCCTGGGGGACTGAGCCCTGGCAGCACTAGGAGGTGTCCACCCAAACGCAAACCTGTCGGGCCCTGCAAAGCCCCGCTATCCTCCTCCTCACACTCCTCCCACCTGGTGCCGCAGACGGGCCCTTGGAGTGGACGGCTCAGGCCTGCTCATCCTCCCCTGGGAGCCCTGAACCCAGCCCACTGCTGAGTCGTGAGCACGCTAACAACCATGAGTGGATCTGCCATCCAGATGATTTGTCCACATTATTTTTGTACCTGACAGTTTATGGGAAATGGGTCTTTATTTTTTCATTGGAGAAATGACTGTTTTCTTCAGTTTGGCGTTTCCAGAGAGCCATTCACATTTAAAGCTAATATTGGAACAGCAGGTTTCCACTGAAAATATTTACCTTTTCCTTGTTGGCAACTTGTCAGTGTAGGGGAAAATAGATGCTTCATTAAAATCTAAATACATTATGCTTTCTTTCTCACACGTCAGTCACTCTTCCTCCAAGTTGAGGAACATTGTGAGAAGTGTTGGGAAAGCATTCTGGTCTTATGTTTTTACTTATTTTAGATGTCATCTGGCATCTTGTTCTTGTTCAAAAAGAGGCATCCCAACACCTATCACTGGCATGGAGAAGCCCTAGGATAGCAGGTTAAATGTCACCCCTAGGACATCAGAATTGATGGTGGCTTCAGTGTGACCGGCGGGGTCTCTTGCCCTGGAAACTCCATTGCCAAATAGAAGGGCATAAAGAAAGCAGCTGCCGTTTCTCAGAAAGCACAGGGCCCCAGTGCCTTAGCAAATAGTTAATTCCCCTGGCTACCCTGGCAGGTGAACTTTGTGGAAAACAAGGGCTCGGACAGGTTGAGACCCTGGGCCAAGGTCACACGCAGCCGAGATGAGATTCCACCCCAGGACTGTCTGACCCCTGCTCTCTTCCCCCAGCTGTGAGCTGCTCTTTATTTTGCCTGGGGCCCCGCCTCTGCCACACCACATGGCCAACGTCCTGTACTCGTTATGGCCTCTCCTTGGGGTTTGTGGCTCCAAGAGCCTCTGGGCCTAGTGTCTCTGATGTAGCCAAAGAGACGAAGGCCCTGGGCACATAGACTAGCAACTGGGAAGGATGGTACTTGGGGCTACCCTGAGTCTCCTCGTCCACCCAGAAATCTGAGAAAGGAGAAAGTGCGATGAGCTGATGCAGCAGAAGGGGCCCCGCCCCACAACAGATGCCCACAAACCCAGAAAAGATTTGGCCCTCGTTATAACCCCCTTGATCTTCAAAGGGAAATTGGCTCCCACTTCCTTGAAATTAAGAACCTCTGTTTATCAAAAGACACCATAACAAGTGAGAAGACAAGGCATCAACTGGGAGAAGATGTTCACAACATACATAACCAGGAAAGGATGAATTCCCAGTACAGGCAAAGCTAAGCAGTGTATCGTGCAGACAGTTGTATTAAAACACCCGTTTTTAAAGGCAATGGAAAGACTAGTCCGAAATTCTGAGCAGTTTCCTCCGTGAGGGGCAGGGCTTGGGTTGAGGCCACAGTGGCTCAAGTTCATATTTTCCCTAGATGAATGTTCATGTGTGTCTGTTATTTTATTAGGCTTTATAACTAACATGTTTGTGCCAGGCAGTCCTTCATACATGTCAAATAGTAAATGTTTTAAAAATAAAGGTAAAAAGTAGTTATTAACAACCCCCGGAGGTAGGTTTCACTGTCCCCGTTTTTACAGGTGGGGTCAGACTAGCTGCTGACACACACTGGGTACTTACTGCACTCCAGGCACTTTATATGAACCGTCTTTTTCAGTGTTTATGGCACCTCTCTAGATACAATCATTTTCATCATCACAGTTCATAGAAAACAGAAGCTTAGTGAGACAAGGTAGTTCTTGCAGTCACTAGCTGGTCACAACTGGTGGTCAAAGCAGGGCTTCCCCCATGACCTGCCCCATGTCCCTCTCGTGGGTGAGGGGGTGACCAGGCATCTACCCCCACTCGTCCTGTGCTGCCGTCTCCGTGTCTGAACGATGGTGGCATCCGCACGCTGTCTACTGCCAGGCACCTGAGGTTCTGAATCACTCAGGCGGTCGTAGACCGGGAGGCCCAAATCACAGACAGTTACGTCCCACAGTTCTGGAGGCTATAAGTCCAAGATCAAGGTTCTGGCCCACTGGTTCCCCATGAGGCCCACGTGGTGGCTGGCAGACGACCACCATCCGTGTCCTCACACGGTGGAGGGGACAGGAAGCCAGGGAAGGGTGCTAATCCTGCCCTGGGGCCACCCTCCTGACCTCACCTAAACCTAGTTACCTCCTAAAGTCCCCCCTCCAGATGCCCTCACCTCGGGGGTTAGGGCTGTAGCATATGAATCTGGAGGGACACAGCGTTCAGTCCATGGTAGGCAGGGATGAGGGGAAGGGAAATAGATGGAGAGCTGGCAGGTAGAGCGGATGGTGTTGAAATCTATCTCTGCTGCTCCCTTTTAAGGCCGTCCAGCTCTAAGGAGCTGGTTCTCTGATGACCTCAGCCCCTTCCTCGGTCAGCACCCATGTGGCTGTGAGTACTTTTGTTGAGTTTTTGATGTCACCCGGGCCTAATCTCACTCTTGTTTTGCCATGAATGTCTCTGACATTGTGTTTGAGTACAGTTTCGAGGTTCTAAGAGCAGGAGTTTCCAGTAGCTTGGTGTCCCAGCTAAGCATGGGGCCCGGATGCTGTGCCCAGCTCCCCGGACAGCTGTGCGGGGACCACGGTCCACACAGGGACCAGTGGCCGTGCGGGACCAACATCTGCATGGAACCCCCCACCCACCCACCTTCCATGCGACTGTCACGGGCCTGTGCTTCCAGGCATCCGCATGCTGGACGGAGACGTGACCGACGTGGTGGAGGCCAAGTCCCTGGGCATCAGACCCAACTACATCGACATTTACAGCGCGAGCTGGGGGCCGGATGACGACGGGAAGACGGTGGACGGGCCCGGCCGACTGGCCAGACAGGCCTTCGAGTACGGCATTAAAAAGGTGTGAGTAACCCAGAGCTGCGAGGGAGCCTCAGGGATGGGGGGGAATAGTGAAAATATTTAACAGTGAGAAATCAGAAGGAATAAAGCCAAAAAGAATATTAAAAAGACTCTCAGTCCGACAAACCCAAAGATGATCTTTCAAATGCTCTTTTAACTCTTCTATGCATATGGAAGGAACTGGGTTCCCTCACCTTTTTTAGAAACAAATATGGGACCATCTTCATGCTGTTTCGCAGTATGTCTTATCAAACAACCAACATGTCATATAGGTAAGAAGAAATCTTGTCACATAGGTAACAATAAATAAACTTGAGGGACTTCCCTGGCGGTCCAGTGGTTAAGACTCCATGCTTCCACTGCAGGGGGCGTGGGTTCCATCCCTGGTCGGGGAACTAGATCCCACATGCCATGCAGTGTGGCCCAAAAATAAATAAATAAATTTGAGCAGCATACACACAAAATTAGAGTGACACAGGGGAGAGCCCCAAAGCAGGACGGCGATGGTGCCAGGACCAGAGCGAGGGAGAAGTCATTTGGGGGCTCAGGGAAGTGGCCATCCACCAACGAGAGCAGAAAGACATCACCTCATTACAGAGTAGCTGTTCCGGAAAGTACCAGCTGGTCACTCACCAGCCCCCTGGCTCTGAGCCTTGGAGCCTGACTGCCCCCAGCTGAGGGGTGTATGCAGGTGGGTGGTGGGGATCCTAGACTAACCACCCGGCCTGTTAACTGGGACTGTGCAGGTGGAAGGGGTGTCTGGGCCTCGGCCCACCTGCTCACAGGAAACCCGAGCCAGGGAGCTGTCTGCGTCCATCACGGGGAGTGTGCTCACCCAGCACCCCCGAAGCAGCAGGTCTTGGCCATGTTCCCTCCCTGCCAGCTCGCAGCCCAGTCAGTGTGTTTGGGGTGGACCCCACTGGGGGCTACACCGAGCAAACATCTGAGCATGGGCCCTCCACCCCGCGGCTGAAGGGGAGCTGGCAGGCTCCTCTCGGGAGGTCCAGCCCAGTCACTCTGTGGTCATCAGTTCTGGGTCCTTGTGAGTCAGAAAAGCCTGGAGATGTCCCAGCTCTTACAAGCACAGTGGCAAGGCAGATTTATGGGCGAGGACAACTTCTTGGAGCAGACACAGAGCTGTGGTCAGCGTCCGGGTGGCCCTGGGAGGCCCGGCGATGCTGGCAGGGTTGGGTCAGGAGGTCCAGGCATCCCCAAGGCAGGGTTTATACCTCTGACTTCTACAGGAAACAGGACGGGGGCCAGGTCAAGCCCATTTTATTATCTATATTTTTTAAACATTTTAAAAAAGTTCTTATCTTATTGTAAACCATGCATGATTAAAATGTGGTTAACAAATAAAATAGTACCAGAGGATTATAGTGAAAGCAGCCCTTATCGCCCTCTGCCCATCCCCCCGTGGTGCCCCACAGAGGAGCAATCCTGAATTCTGAGCAACACCGGCTACATCCAGCTCTCAGGGGAGTGTGGAAGGTGCGGAGAGGACCATGTGGTTCTTGTCACAGTTTCTTGAAATACTGAAGTCACTTCATTTTTTTTTTTTTTAGTCATTCTGAATAAAATATGCCACATAGGGAGCCTTAGATCGCAGCTGTCTGAAGTTGTCACTGAAAATCCTCCTAGAGATTTGATGATCTCAGACCGAACCACATTCTCCCATCTGTTTTTCCTCCTCGATGCCCTGTTTGTCACCTATATCCTTTTTCTGTAAAATCTGACTTCATCTTTGGTAAATGGTGTGGGTTGGTGGTAGGAGACATCAGACCCTGTACTTTGGCATAAACATGTGTTTGATGTTGGTCCTCGTGTGGCTTGTCACCCAGAAGGGGAGAGTCAGTGTCACTGTGGCTGAAAGCACTGGCTTTGTCCAGATGCCGGGCATTTGCTAGCCCTCTGAGTCCATGGATGAGGTCCCCGCTTCCCAGGCCAGATGCTCAAATACGTTCCGATGGTGTTGAGGTGTGGTGGCTTCCTGAACAGAAGTGCAAGTTCATAGCCAGGGTTGAAACGTCCCCTGGAGCCTCTGTCCTGTGGCTTCCGTAGGAACAGAAGACCCGGAAAGTGAAAATGCAGTCCTCAGCGATGGCTCAGACCTGGGTGCTTCCTCTGCCTCGTTCCCACGTTCCCTTTCCAGGAAACTGTTTTCAGAAGGGAAAGAGGCTTTGGACGCCTTGATGCCTGTGAGAACTCATGGGTCTAGTGGTACCTGCGAAGTGCAAGGTGAAGAGATGCAAGTCTTTGGCATTTAGGCCTCTGTTATTCAAAGTGGGGTCCCAAGCAGCAGAGCTGGCATCACCTGGGAGCCCGTCAGAAGTGCAGAATCTTGGGCTCACCTGGACCAGCTGAGCCCAAGTCTGCGATGTAGCGAGACCCGCAGGGATTCTCCTCACAAGTGTGACAAGTGCTTTTTGAGGCCATTCACCATGCTGCTGGAGCAGTAAGATCGCTTGCCCTGCTTTGCAAAATGACAGCCTTTGATAAATAATTTGGAGTGAGGCGAGGAGTTGGAGGTGAAATAAAGACAGGCTCTGACGGGTTCAACACCCTTTCATTCCAATTTTCGTTGGCTTTGAATGAGCTTCTGATTAATCTTTTCCAACAGGTAGTTATGGGCACAGACACACGCATGTCCTTAGTCCTTTGTGCCTTTTTTTCCAGAAGGTTGCCATTTTTGCTAACTGTAAGTAACCTTTCTGTCGAGCTGTTGGCCGTTTGGGCAGGTCTGCCTTCGAGATGTGGAAAACGGAGTGGACGAGGCAGTTTTGAGCCCTGGGACTGGGCTGTCCCTCGAGCCTCAGGTTGGAACTGGTGCAGATGTGGGAGTGAAGACAAATAGGCAGAAAAGGGTGGGGACCTGTGGTCTACTTGGTCCAAAAGTGGGGTGTCCTGGTGCTTCTGGAGCAGGTGGGTGCCCTCAGTCCGGGTGGACTTGAGCTCCAAGGGTGTGTCAGGCATCCTCTCAGAAGCAGGGCTTCAGTCGGGCTACGGGGAATTGTAGGATTTTGTTGAAAATTTTCTTTAAATTGGCCAGTTGTTGGGCCTGAGTGTCAGTTTCCTCCTGTGTGTTTGGACAGGAGTATCCTTGGCAAGGATGCCGGAGCCACCAGCCCACGTGGAGATGGGTATTGGCACCTCTCTCTGGGGCTGGCTGTGCCCACCAACGGTCCAGCCTTTCGGACCGAACGGGTCGGTTCTGTCTTGGAACTGGTGTTCTTCTTTAGCTGGTGTTTGTGGCTGGGATGAGTGTTGGTTGGATCCCATGGGTGTGGGTTGGAGAGGCTGCAGGAGCTCCCCTGACCTGCTACTGTCTTACAGCGACTTGCTGTCACGTGCGTGTCCTTAAATGTGAAAAGCTACACACAGGTGAAGCCGCTGGCCTTGGTTGCGCTGGCAGTGTGGCCGCTTCAACGCTGACCCAAGGGGAAGCCCGGGGCGCTCTCCTAGGATGGCCCCGGGGTGTTCTGGCCCTTGGCCCTTGTTCCTGCAAATCCTGGGCCCGCCGCTTTTCAAGGAGCTCTTCTCCAGGAAGGATGCTTCTGCAGCTGGGTTTTCAGGAACTTTTGCCCTCTTCCTCAGCCAGAAAAATTAACGTCATAAATTCAGCCGTCAGCTTTCATCTCAGTGTACTTGGGGACGCTGCTTGGTCTTTCTGATCATGGGACATTGCAGTGGAAATCACTGGTGTTGCTCTGGGACAGAGCAGCTTGTGTGAGGGCCTTGATTTTCCCGTGAAGAACAGGGAGGACTTTCTGGGCCAGCTTCTCAGTCTGACATTGTGATTCTATGGTGTCATGGCTGTTGCCGCCAACACTACGAAAATTGGAACGCCAGAGCCCATCAGCCCACAGACCACGCACTGGGCAGCCTCTGTCTGGTCTGAGTGCATCCTCCTCGGCCCCCTCCCTCTTCATGGGTGGAGGGGGACGCTGGACAGGGGTGAGACCAGCTGGGGGTCCATGTGGGCTGACGCCTGTCCTCTCCCCTCCAGGGCCGGCAGGGCCTGGGCTCCATTTTCGTCTGGGCGTCGGGGAACGGCGGCCGAGAGGGGGACCACTGCTCCTGCGACGGCTACACCAATAGCATCTACACCATCTCCGTGAGCAGCACCACGGAGAATGGCTACAAGCCCTGGTACCTAGAGGAGTGTGCGTCCACCCTGGCCACCACCTACAGCAGCGGGGCCTTCTACGAGCGCAAAATCGTGAGTCCTCGGCGGAACCCCGGGGGATGAGCTCCTTGTCCCATTCTCAGGAGGACGGGCCGGTCAGGGCAGTGTGTACCTGGCCCCGGGCCCAGCCTTGCCGTCAGGGAACTAGTTGTGCCTCAAGGTAAACCCCAGGCCCTTGGCAACCTTCCTCAGACCCTGCCTTTCTAATTTTGGCACAGAATACCAATTAAAACCCTCTCTGTCTCTAGGGATCTAAAAATAGCCTTTAAGAAAGGGGTGTATTCTCAGCGCGGTGTCTTTTTTAAGCTTTCTGTGTTCTGTGGTCACATCGCTTGGGATCCAACTGGCCTGTTCAGTTTCAACGTGCAAAACAGAGTGAGAGAAAGTCTTGCTTCTATACGGAAACAGTTTAGAAATCTGGGTGTCCTAGGTGTTCCCTTCCTCACAAAAGGACTTTTCCAGACACTTCAGGTTGAGAGTGGTTCTGTCGGTTGCGCTCACTTCAATGAACACAAGTGCGGTTTATCTTTTAGAAAGTAACTTTTAGTTTAGTGATGGGTGAAGTTTGTGCTTGTTCCTTCCCTACGTGCTTTCCTACTTTGAAAAAATGTAAGAGGGGAGGGTTTCAAGTTGAAATCAATGCAGAATTCAAATGCACAGTCGTTAAGATGGTTTTTAGACCTTTAAAAAAAGGAGACCGTGGTGCTGGCCAACTGGTTTAACCTGAAAGCTCACTGGCGTCTTTTCATTTCTCCTGTTGCCTGGCCACATCTTTAGACATTACTTGCAGGCATATTTTTACGTTTTTCTGCGGGAGCGTGCAGGCTTCCCGTTCCCTGATTTGCTCTGCACCAGTGGGAAGGTCAGCCGCTATCCTCCCACCGCCAGCCTGGCAGCAGCCCGGGCTGTTTCACGAAGGTATTAATTTATTTTCCTTTTCTACTGGACTGTGCACCCCTGGGATGGGGCTGAGATTCTGAATGGTGTCCTGTTCATTTAGGAATCTAGCTCATTTGAACACGGACTTGCTGGAGTCTCATTAAGCAGAACCTGACAGAGGCCTTGGCTGGAGGGGGCAGGGAGGTGCTGTGTGCCGGGGACTCTGTGCTGGGTGGATGCCATTCCCCATCCCTGGGAGCAGGGCTTGCAGCTTTATTTGCTTAATTAATCACACAGCATCTGCAGGTGTGTACGTGTGCATGCGTGGGCACACACCTTAGCTGCAAAATGCCTTAATTTCTTTTTCTTTTTAAAAAAAAATTCTCTGAGTCCTACTGTATGGTAAGAAGGGTGTCGTTGGGCAGAGGGTGAAAGAGAAAATCACACTCCATTGCAGCTGCTGTCCTGGTGCTCGTCCCTGGTAGTATGGGTGGCAGGTTGTTTTTGTTTTGGTTTTTGTTTTTTCCCCCAACTCAACAAGGCCAGGTGTTTGCTCTGAGTCCCTTAGAGACCCTGCCAGGGGGTGAGCCCCTTCCCTGGATGGTGGGCAGCTCACGTCTGCACGTTCAGGCAGGTGTCCATGGAAATTGGAGCTCGGGCCCCTCGTCCTCTTCCGTTGCTACAGTGCAGCGAGTACCGACCTGCGAGGGATTGCCCGGTGCTGAGACAGGGCTTGTGATCAAATCAGTTGCACTTCTAAAGAGGCATCTCTCCCTCATTCATCCACTCACTGAACACAGCCAAGTACCAAGCAGGATGTAGAGTTTCAGGAAGGGGCTGCCCACCTCCCTGTGGGGAGGCCCCTCTACTCATGCCCCTTTCTCTGAGGCTGGAGAGCCAGCCACGGGCCTTACCTGCTCTTGGGAGCTTGGTGTCCTGCCCACACAATCTCATTTTCCCTCTGGCCACCTTTGACTGAGTACAAGCATGTGCCAGGTGCCAGCTGTGCTTTCACAGGAGCCCCGTGAAGGACTTGGCATTAAGCCCCTTTGCAGATGAAGATCCTGGGGTCAGAGAGGTTGCATCCTCATCCCTGCTCCCTTGCCCTCCCCAATGTCAAGGTCCTGCTGAACTAGGAGGGGGGGAGGAGGCTGGTCTCCACCAGCATCCCTGTCGAATCTTCCTCTGTGTGTGTGACACGGGCTGGATCCCTCTCACTGGTGATGGTCGGCCCAGCTGAATCATGAGGAAGGAAAATGCTATGTTTGGAAGAGGATCTGGACTGTTACCACAGGGGAAATTCGTTCTCAAGGGTTTTGCAGATGGGTTGCTGGAGGCTTACGGTTGGTGGGTATATTAGTCTCCTATTGCTGTCATAACAAATTGTCCCAAACTTCGCAGCTGGAAACAGCACAGCTGTGTCATCTCACAGCTCTGTGGGCCAGAAGTGCTGCAGCCTCCACTGGGTCTCACGAGGCTGATGTCCAGGTGTTGGCCGGGCTGTGTTCCTTTCCAGAGGCTAGAGGGAGAATCCATTCACTGTTCATCCAGGGTGTTCACAGAACTTAGTTCCTGGTGGTTATAGGACTGAGCTCCTGTTTCCGTGTGGGCTGGCTGCCGAGGGCTGTTCCCAGCTTCTGCGGGCCACCCATGTTCCTGGCTTTTGTCCCCCCAGCGCCCTCTTCAAAGCCAGCAGGGAGGGTCAGGTCCCTCCTAAGCCTCATCTCTCTGACAGACTTTTAAGGGCCCTGTAATTACATCCCCGACTTAAGTTCAGCTGGTTAGCGGCCTTAGTTCTACCTGCAAAATGCATGGGAGTCACACTAGGGCCAGTGTCCCATCCAGCACAACAGGCGTCTCCCAGCTGTACCCACGCGTGCTTCTCCGTTTCAGTTCAAAGGGAAGGTGCAGTCAGGCTGGACTGTGGTGAGGCCCAGAATCAGTGCCCACCCCCGTCACCGAGGGACACAGGTGTAGCTCCTGCTGCAGACAGAACTGGGTGCTCTGGGACACTGTCAGCTACCTGGGAGGACGTCCCGGTGGAGAGAGTGCTCTGTGACCTTCTCTGACCAATGGCCGATCTCTGGCTCACGGCAGAGATGCTCTCTGGGCCAGACGACACCAGCACGTGTTTCCCTGCTCTGAAGTCTGGAGTGACTTGGGGGTTGTTGATGGGGGCCCTGGCAGGGGGTCTTGGCGTGGAGGCCCCTCTGTTTCATTCTGTCTCTCTGTTGAGTCTCGGACTGCATCTGCAGTGGTGGGGGGCTGTGGCCTTAACCCCCTGTTCCTACCCCGCCATCACCATGTTGCTGCAGGGGGTGCCAGACACGCGGAAGCCTCCGTTGCCAAGGTGTGTCTGCATAGCACCTCTTCCATCCCTGGGGCTAAGGTCACGCCTGCCCAGGGGCAGTGTCCTGAGCAGCCTCTGACCCGGCTGCTTGCTGCCCCTGCCCAGGTGACCACGGATCTGCGCCAGCGCTGCACCGATGGCCACACCGGGACCTCTGTTTCAGCCCCCATGGTGGCCGGCATCATCGCCTTGGCGCTGGAAGCAAAGTAAGTTCCCACCTACCTTCCCTCCTTTTCCTTTTTTTAAAAAAGTGTTTATTGTGGTAAAATACACATAACGTAAAATTTATGTTTTACACACCATTTTAAGGGTGATGCTCGTTAAGCACATTCACTGTTGAGTGACCATTGCCGCCAGCCATCTGCAGAACATTTTCGTCTGCCCAGACTGAAGCCCTGTACCCGTCAGATAGCTTCCTGTGTGGTCTGCTTGGGCTTAAACAACAGAAACGTACGATCTCACAGTTCTGGAGGCTAGAGGTCTAAGATCGCGGTGTCGGCAAGGCTGTTTCCCTCTGAGGCCTCTCTCCTTGACGTGTCAGTGGTCACCTTCTCCCCGTGTCCTCACGTGGCCTCTGTGTGTGTGTGTTTAGATCCTTCTGTAAGGACACCAGTCATGTTGGATCAGGGCCCACCCTAATGACCCCATTTCACCTTAATTACAGACGCCCATCTCCAAATGCAGTCACATCTGAGGTCCTGGGGGTCAGGGCCTCAACGTGTGATTTTGGGGAAGGGACGCGCAATGCAGCCCATAACACTCCCCATTTCCCCCTCACCCAGCTCCTGCCAACCACCGTTCTAGTTTCTGTCTTTATGAACCTGACTCCTCTCGGACTTCAAATTTGTGGGATCACACAGTGTTTGTCCTTCTGTGTCTGCCTCACTTCACTCAGCATAGTGTCCTCCAGGTTCACGTCAGGATTTCTCCTTAATGGGCATGAGTGGCTTCTTCCCTTCTCTCCCGTTTTCAAGCTCACAGTCTCCTGCCCTTCGTAGGAGTACAGGGAGCCGGGGTGGGGGGGTGCCCCAAGCCTGCACCGCACCCCCAGACCACACTTTAGGCTGATACAGCTGTCCTTTGTCAACTGTAGTTCATAAGTTGACAATACGGTGGTGATGTTTTATCTGCTTTAAGCTGAATGAAAGCCCTAGAGTTGTCAATGGGTGGAAGGTTCAGAAGAAGAGAGTCTACTACACATACAGTCATGGGATCAAAAACAGATTTTAGTTTAAATATCAAAACTGGCTCAGAACAGCCCAGCCCTTTGAAGGAGTCATTTGCCGCAGGTGAGATTTTAAATGATTCAGCAGTTATATTTGGGTTGCTGCAGTCCTTCTAATTATGTATGTTTGCTCGTTGATTTGCATCAGGCGAAAGAGCGTAAAACTCAAATGCTACCCATTTCACAAAGAAAGAGCTAAATATCTTTGATTTTCAGGCCAAAATGATAGCTTCTGTGTCCTGAGGCTCATTTAAAAAATGCTAAATAGTTGCTTGTGTGGGAAGTTGCTTTCATATACTTGGTGATTAGTTGTTTTATATTTTCTTTCCTTCCTTATTGGAAACATGGAAGGAGTTTTGTTAGTTGAAACTAAATAGAAAACAGACCCCGCTTTGTGCCGGATTGTCCCATTAAACTTGGCCTGTGGACTCATGAATTCCCCGATCACTGCCTCATCGTTTTAGCTCATCCTCAGAATTTTACAGGTGGTAGGTCAAGCACACGTCATTGGAAACAGCGTCCACTTAGAGCATTTAAACACATAGGGTTGGTCCAGGAAGGAACTTGGTGTAACCAGGGGCACTGCCGGCCTCAGCTGAGGGGCTTTGGAGGCCGGGGTAGTATCTGGACAGCTGCTCACGTGTGCAGCAATTTTGCTGTGGAAGGAGGCCGGGCAAAGCCAGGTCACCTGGGGGGAGAAGCTCTCGGGGGTGCAGGAGGCCTGCAGGCAGCATGTGACAAGGATGAAGGAAGAGCCTTATGTGTGAGAACCACCCCCAAGGCCTAGCAATCCCTTCTTCACTTAAAAAAACATTTTAAACACCATTTCTTAGACATGTTTTCATACAACTATATATGTGATTTCAGTACTATCATCAAAAATGAAATGGAGTTTCTCCTAGTAAGATGGTTTCTCACATCCTCCCTTTCTAAACCCTTTCTGTGTCAGCTCTGAAGCCCAGGCTTCCTGGCATCTGTGCTGAGCTCCCGGGGGGCTGGCTTTCTCCATCCTGGGTGGACCCTGCAGATGTGAGGGGTGACGAACCCGGCCAAACAGGGGAAAGGGCGGCAGGCACATCTGCCGTCCTGTGCGTGCGCCTCTCCACCAGAGGGCAAGGCCGTGGGCCACTCGGGGCCTCAGATCCTCCTCTAACAGTGAGGCTGGCTGTGGTCCTCAGAAGGGCAGTGGATAAGGGGAGGATAGCAAGTCAGCTTGTGCCAAGAAAAGGTCTGGAAACTGTACTGATGGGGACAGTTGGGATAGGCAGCCAGGAGGCCACTGACTGGCCGGGGACCAGCACAGTGTCAAGAACGTGGTGGAGAAATCAGGGGAAGCCAGGGCTAGAGCCCAGAGAGCGGGAGACCCCAGGGAGGAGGAGTACACAGGCCCCCCAGGACTCAAGCCACAGGTGAGCTTCTAGTACTAAAGCAGGCAAAGCATTTGTTGGGAAAGTAAAATAGTGCAGCTGCTGTGAAAAACAATGTGATGGCTCCTCAAAAAATGAAACAAAGAATTACCATATAATTTAACAATTCCACTTGTGAGTGTGCACCCAAAAGGACGGAGAGCAGAGACTCGAAGAGATATTTATACAGCCATGTTCACAGCAGCATTACTCACAATAGCAGAAGGTGGAAGCAACCCAGATGTCCATCAGTAGATGAATGTGGTCTATGGAATGTCATTCGGCCTTGAGAAGGAAGGAGGTTCTGACCCCTGCAGCAACGTGGACGAACCTGGAGGACATTATGCTGAGTGAACTAAGCCAGTCACAGAAGGACAGATACCTTGGGACTCCACTTCTGTGAGGCACCTGGAGTCATCAAATCCATAGAGACAGAAAGTAGGATGGCCTGGCCAGGGGCCTGGGGGAGGGATAGGGAGTGAGTGAGTGATGGGGGCAGAGGTTCAGTGGGTTAAGATGATCACGTTCTGGAGATGCACGGTGGTGACGGCTGCATAACACGGTGAATGTGTTTAATGGCACTGAACTGTACACTTAAAAACGGTTGAGGTGGTACATTTTATGTTACATATATTTGCAGACACACACACAAAGAGTGGGCAGTTGGAAAGATGCCTGTGAGGACTGGCCAGGGCAGGTGCTATTTAAGAAGAGGTGGCGAAGGCTACGTCCAGGGACCTCCCGCTGTTTTTTTTTTTTTTTGGCTGTGCTGTGTGGCCTGCAGGATCTTAGTTCCCCAACCAAGGATCGAATCCATGCCCCCTGCAGTGGAAGCACGGAGTCTTAACCACTGGACTGCCAGGGAAGTCCCCAGGGAGCTCCCATTCTTGTCTGTGTTGTGGTCCTAGTGCTGTGGACAGAGCAGGGTTCTGAGAGCATCATTGTCAGGTGGATCCTGTTTTGAGGAGTGTTGAAAAGGCAAGCAGATGTATCTTAGTGTCCAAGGTATCTCATCTCTGCATTTTTAATCGTGGGCAAGTGTTCTTTTAATGAAATGTTTCTACTCTGCACCAAAATGAATATATTGTTAATGTAGAATTACTAAAATCTCAAATTCTAGTGTGTGGGCAGTGGTCCTGGACATGGTGTCTGAGTAGGTGATGGCTGGGCGTGCCCCGGCCCACGGAATGCTCACTCACATGGTAAAGACTAGTCCAGATTGTCCCAACACGTGCTGATACGTAAGGCTGTCCTCTCCCCGGGGCCAGAGTTTGCCATAGAGCCTCATACAGACTCAGGTGGATCGTGGTAGCAAGGCTAGGCTTTAACACTGTGGGTTTTTGGTCACCCATTGTACTATCTTATCTTAGGGTTTGATGACTAGAAACCGTTCTTTACAAAGAGGTTGTGACGTTGACCCTTGACAAGGAGGGGAGCCTGCGGAGCCTTCCTCAAGTCCAGGCACGAGGCCGGCTCCCAACGCCCCACCTCTGATGGGCCTTGTGGCCGCCTTACAGACCCACATGAGTACAGCCGTCTGTCCTTGTGTCATTGCAGCAGCCAGCTGACCTGGAGGGACGTCCAGCACCTGCTGGTGAAGACGTCCAGGCCGGCCCACCTCAAAGCAAACGACTGGAAGGTGAACGGTGCTGGTCATAAAGGTGCGGCCAAGACTCCGGGGCTGGGTGGGTCCTGACCTCCTGGAGCCTGTATGGCGGGGACATGAATTTCTCAAAAAGAACCCCCAAATAACATTAAGTATGTGTCACAAGAATGAAAGGTAGAAATCCAGGAGTTTAATAAGGTCACTCAAGTTCTGGGCTTGCTAAGCCTCCCGACTTCTGCCACGTCAGGGGCCACCTGTACCAGTATGGACTTCATGGTTCTCTTTAAATGGGCTTGCCTATTTTTTTTTTTTTTTAACACAGAGAAGTATATTTTAAAAGGAAGCTCTGTTACATCTAGTTAATCATGGGTTTGATGTGTAGTTACGTTTTTTCTAATGCACATTAAAACAAATCCATAATTATTAAGATACATGATGTTTGCTTATGTGCCACCTAAGGACAACTTGCATTCTCAGCCCTGGGTAGCTCTACAATTTTGAAACTATCCCTCAGTTTCCTGACCTGTACAAGGAGGACATTGAGATAGTTATATAAGTTACTTTCTAACTATAAAACTTCTGTCAGCAAGCCCTTGTGTTTTAAAAGGGCTCTGTCCCCATCATAGCCTGGGACAGACCCAGGTACCATGAAATCAACCCACAGTCCAGGCTTGTAACCCAGATATTTGGAGCCTCTTGAGCAGGTTATTATAGGACTGTGCCACTGGCTTTGTTTGTCTTGCTTCTTACCAGAGATACTTGAAAAAGATTTACATTCAGCCATGGTATGTTAGGGAGGACGTTTTTTCCTTTTCTTTAGCTCAGGTCCCGCTATTTCGACACCAAGCCTGATACTACTCTGAAAAATACAGGTCAAGCATTGTTACCCTAAGTTCCGAGGGACATTCCTTTTAATAAGGAGGCCATTGATTAGGCCTGATGCATCCTTGTGTTGCAGGAATGTCTGTGGTAGTGGCGTGCTGCAACAAGAGCTGACCTACATTGCGATTTTGGCCTAATTAAATAGGAAAAGAGATTGTATCTAGTTCTTGACCTTGCCTCTTAAATTCAACTCTGAAACTCTCCTGCGTTGGCCAAATTAAACACCAGCTTGGGCCAGCCTGTGTGCTGGGTGATGCTGCTCTCCCTGAATGCCCTAGAAATTCAGCAGGGAGAGCAAATGGCAGAAGAGATGAGCAGAGCCTTGTTTTATCGTGCTTATTGCATGTCGTGGTTGCGTGAACTAAGGTGTCGCATGTTTTGCTTTTCATGTCCGGCTCAAAATTCGGGGAGCGCAGATGCCAGGAAGTCCCTTTTTTTTTTTTTTTTTTTTTGCGGTAGGCGGGCCTCTCACTGCTATGGCCTCTCCCGCTGCGGAGCACAGGCTCCGGACGCGCAGGCTCAGCGGCCATGGCTCACGGGCCCAGCCGCTCCGCGGCATGTGGGATCCTCCCGGACCGGGGCACGAACCCATGTCCCCTGCATCGGCAGGCGGACTCCCAACAACTGCGCCACCAGGGAAGCCCAGGAAGTCCCTTTAATATAAAGAAACTCGCCCTCATCTTACAAAAAGAAAGTACTAGGCCCTCTCAACACTTCCTTTATTTTGCACCAAAATGGGACGTATTTTCTGCCCCTCGCTTCTGACCTGAAAGAGTTGGGAGAGTAAAGCAGCTGGGAGTGTCCTCAGAAGGACGGGTGCTGTGGCCCGGGGCTCTCAGGCGCTGGCAGGGGCCCTGCAGCCCTGGAGGGACACAGGTGGCCTGTCCCCGGACGGTGGTGGCGGTGGGGAGCTGGGTCTGAAGGCCCTGTCTTTTCAGTTAGCCACCTCTATGGATTTGGCTTGGTAGACGCGGACGCCCTCGTCATGGAGGCCAAGAAGTGGACTGCGGTGCCCCTGCAGCACAGCTGTGTCGCCGTCACAGACAAGAGGCCCAGGTGAGCTCGGTTCTTCCGGTGTGTCCTTTGGACTCTGCTGGAAGGTATTTCGGGGATGGGGGAGATAGGTGTTCACACACGCATTCCTGTGCACATCGGTGAGGACATGCATGTGTGGGTGCGTGCAGTGCGTCTGTAAACATGTCTGCATTTTTTCTTGTGGATTGTGAAGCAGGGAAAGGAATCGATTCTTAATCCAGTACTGTTTTGAGGCCTTTTGCTGTCATTGTAGTTTCCCCTCTTGTCAATTGCTGCATTCTGAGGCGTCCATCCCTCAGCCTGAAGCCCAGCCTAGGATTGGAACTTCTTAGCCGTAATATTCAGCAGAGCCACCCAGACCTGGGAGCTGCCCTGCTGGCTGGGGGCGATGGGCAGCAGCGCCAAGCGGCCTCCTAGAGGCTGGAGCCATAGCTCTGGCAGCTCCACCGGCCCCGAGAGTCCGCAGTGAGACCCCATTGGTCCTGGACCAGGGTGGCAGCCCCAGCTTCTTCTCTGTGGCAGGAGAGAGTTTAGTATCCAGAGTGCACAGCAGCACGGTGTCACTTTTATCTGGACTCAGATAAGCTTAAGGTGTAAACACTGGGATTTTTTTTTTAACATCTTTAGTGGAGTATAATTGCTTTACAATGTTGTGTTAGTTTCTGCTGTAGAGCAAAGTGAATCAGCTATACATATACATATATCCCCCTATCCCCTCCCTCTTGCGTCTCCCTCCCACCCTCCCTATCCCACCCCTCTAGGTGGTCACAAAGCACCGAGCTGATCTCCCTGTGCTATGCAGCTGCTTCCCACTAGCTATCTATTTTATATTTGGTAGTGTATATATGTCCATGCCACTCTCTCACTTCGTCCCAGCTTACCCTTCCCCCT